CCCCCCCAATGTTTATGTTGTAAACAGTCTTTCCTTCCTCCATTTATATTAGTCAAGCCTAACCAGATTTACTATGTGCTCACCATGGCTGGAATGCTGTCCTGGGTTCGTGGTTGGATTCTGCCTCTTTTTTTTCTGTTTCTTCCCCACAGACTGACATTTTTATTTGCTTGGTTGAGAATGTCCTATCACATGCCCTCTGTATTATAGTGGGGCAACGAGCCAGCCAGAGAGCAGAGTCTTAGAGGAAAAAAAGGATTTCGTAGCTGTAATGTTGCAGAGTTTTAGTTTTGGACTGACACGTTTTGATGACCTTAACTTTAGTGGGATGATTCTTTCAGTTTTATTTCTCGCTTTAATGTTCTGTGGTGAACGTATGCATCATCGAGATGTCTGTTTGTTCACTAGATGCCATGTAACTCCGTTCTGTCCAATTTACAGCTTTGAAGAAATCTACAAATTCCAAAGACAGATTCTCCGAGTCAAAGACAGAGACGAATTCCCGATGATCCTCGTCGGAAACAAAGCGGATCTGGAACTACAGAGACAAGTTAGTCCAACAGATTGCAGAGATCTGAACTCGCTGACTGACAAAACATGCTTTTATCATCCGGAGGAACAGCAGGCAGTCTGGAGGGATTCACTTTTGCATGTTTTACATTGAAAGCGTTGCAGCTGCAGCTCGTTTCTGCGATACAACAGGAAGTGAATGAAAGAACAGGAGAGTCTGTGTAAACTGTGGTGTCAGGAGGGGAGGATTGATGGGAAAAGAGAGTATGATGAATAGATGAATCTGCTGATATTCATACACTCGTTTCTTTTAGTGAAGCTTTACTGCCCCCTAATGGTGAAAAGCAGACTCCTGCTGGCAGGTGCAATTAAGTTTGTATTAAAAATATAATTTTTTTACCCAGTAAAATCATCCATCTAGCCATCTATCATCTTTGTATCTATACACCAATTCCATTACCCACTTTTTCAATTCAGGGTTGCAGAGGCACTGGTGCCTAAATCCAGGAGTCCCTGCACACGAGGCAGGGGACACTCTGGACAGGTCACATGTCCATCACAGGGACACACAGAGACAAATGCGTGAAACAACCGTTCACACGCTCTCACTCACACAGTTTAGAGTTACCTTGAACCTAGCATGCACGTGTTTGGTCTGTGGGAGGAAACCAGGTTACCCTAAGAAAACCCTCACATGCCAGGGGTGAGCATCCAAACTCCACCCAGAAAGACCACCAGGCAGTAGGAGGTCAGCTCTTACCCCCAATAACACTAACCTTAAAATCTGTTGTAGCAAAATGTAGCTCAAACAAAGAAAGCTGTGGACTCAGTTAATTTATTTACAGTACCCTGCCTTGGATTTCATGCACACGTTTTGGCACATTAGGGTGAAATGCCTTTATTTCGTAGACGGATGCACACTATATGTGAATTAAATCGCTTAGGTGTGGATAACTCTGCTTTAAAACAAAGATTTCTGTCAACCTATAAATAATAATAATAATAATAATAATAATAATAATAATAATAATAATAATAGTAAATAATTGGATAATTGTATTGTTTATAAGGGACAGGAAAATGCCATGTCAGCAGATTTTAGTGACTGAAACAACCATAAGAAAGAAGAAAGCTTTACCTCGTGTGAATTTATATAAGTTTTGTGTTTTTGCTTAACACAGCCTTAAACATTAGGGTTTATCATTCACTATGGCACAAGGCTGATCTGTCGGCTGATTAATTAAGCTGATTTATTCCTACTTGCTGCAATAGTGTTGCCTTTCACATTTATTTATTTTTTCATAATTTCTTCCTTCAGAGTCTTTAATCGATTAGTTGAAAGAAAGAAAATGTTAACTTTAAAGGTAAAAAATGGATGCATATAAGTTTGAAGCTGCTTTCATAGTCAATCTTCAAAAAACTGTAGCTCATGTAGGAAAGTTTACTGAGCCACATCTGGCCCCAGGGCTAAATCACCAAATCAAATTTCAGTTCCTTTTCTAAAATCTAGTAAATTGCATTGTGTATGAATTTAAATATTTTTAAATTTAAGATTCCAAGACAGCAAATTGTTTTCTAAATATCAGCATTAATAACAACCACTAAGAAATTCAGTATAAATGCACAACCGTCACGCTAAAGGAAAGAGTTACTTTAAAATTTACGTTAGTCTGAAGTTTATTGCTGCTTTCCTGAACTCAAACACAATGTTGGTTTCTTAAGATCATATGAATTGTTTAGTGCAAGCCTAATTTAACATTCACACAATTGTTTCCTTTTTCCTCTCTTACCTCAGGTAACCCAGGAAGAAGGCCAGCAGCTGGCCAGACAGTTAAAGGTCACATATATGGAGGCTTCAGCCAAAATCCGAATGAACGTAGACCAAGCTTTCCACGAGCTGGTTAGGGTAATCAGGTATGTGCGCTGCAGTGGCAACTCCTAATTTTGTTTGTTTCTCAAAATGTTAACGTAGATGCAGATACATTTGTTGGCACCCAAAGAAATAGAACTGTTCTGCTTTTAACTGAATCGCCTAGCTCGAGAAATGAAGCAGTAGCTTATATGGACATAAGTAATAGGAACAAAACAGCCAATCAGAATAAATGAGTCATGTAATCACCCCAACAGAAACATTCTGATCTGATTCAGCTCGATCGGAACATAGCTACAGTTTTAATGATCTGTAAGGGTTTCTAGTTTTCATGTCTGTAATTCAGAACACCGTGAAGGTTTAGTAAATTTTGCTTTACCATTCAGTGTTCACAAAGGATTAAAGTGCCTGTAACATGCCTATCCTTCAAATAGAAAAAGTCAAAGCATCTTTATACTTTATTTATATCTTAAAATTGGCATAGTACACATGATTTTACTCATTTTGTCACATAACTGGCATAATTTCTTTTGAATTTGGCTCAGCCAAAGTGAAACAGGAAGTGACATCAAAGGGGAACTCATTAATAAGATAAACTCTCTGGCCTTTGTTTATTAAAACAAAATTATTTGAACTTTAACTCTTCTTCATCTCTCTGACAGAGACTCAAAATAATCTAAAGAAACATCAGATTCTTCTCTACAGTCTGTGTTGTTAACTTTTGCAACAACGCTCTGTTTACATGCCGACATTCCCCTTTGACATCACTTCCTGTTCCTTCACATGCAAACATCTCAACAACCGTTCATCTCAGCAGCGTGAAATTTGTTTTGCATTATGTTGTCAATGTTATCTGTCCAAAAATGTGTTCACATGTATTACAAAAAGTTGATGTCACAGGCACTTTAAGTCATCTGCTTTGTACTAAACCGTATGCTTTCTGTTGATTTCTAGGAAATTCCAAGAACAAGAATGCCCACCATCGCCAGAGCCCATGAGGAAAGAGAAAGACAAGAGTGGCTGCCATTGTGTGATTGTCTGATTTTTTTTTTGCCTTATCACTGTAACTCAAGCAGCTGCTCTACCGCCCCGCCCACTCTGCCTGACATCACATCCCTCGTGGATGACTGACCGCTGCCTTCTCCATGTGCATGACTTCAGACGGCCTTTTTCTGAGATCCTCTGACCAGGAGCTGCTGTTTTCTGGGACATCTCTAAGGACAACTGACAATGCCAAATTTTTAACACCACTCTACCTTCAGCCGTAATCTTAATTCAAACAAGAGAATATCAACACTAAAACATTGCCTTCTAAATCCGCCTGACAAAATCATTGTTTTATACTCTGAAGGACTTCTCTTGCCTTGTAGTGATGTTTGTACTTGCTACCAAGATTGAATGATATATATATATA